ATTATAATAATAATTTCAATTTAAATAGCGCCTTTCACGAAACCCAAGGACGCTTTACAATGGGAAGTAACAAAAAAAAAAAAAAAAAGAGTAATAATAATCATCCATGATAAGAACTCGCGAAGCATCAGAACATGTGGCGCTAGGTAGCTTGAAACAGCAACATGGCTCACCTTGGTCGTTGTCTGGTCAATAGTGGTTTTCAATGGCATTAAAACGATAAAAACGCTGCTGAAGTTAATCCATAGGTTAATCCAGGGGGGGAATTAATTTAAATTTTCCGCACTCTCGCGGGAATATCTCCGCAATGGAGCGAGTTTACATTTCACTTTCGATTTTCATGGTATAGCCCAGCGCAACACCTTCGTCAAACATGTTGCCACTTGTTTGTACCATTTTCAGGCGATTTGTAATCTGTTCTAGAAAAATTATGTGTTTTTTAGGATTTCAAGAAGCGTATAAAATAAACAATGGATGTTTTTTATGAACATTTATCCATGCTGAAAGTAGATTTAGATGTTAGGAGTGAGATAGAGATTATTATCTAATATATGCATCCAATGAAGCATTGTATGAAGTCTGTTGATGATCAGAGGCTGTTGTTGGGGCTGCATAAACGTTTCTTTATATATTTTTTGTAGGCAGACCATGCATGCCTCAGAGAGTTAAACTTGGGCCTGCGACCATAGTTTTACTGTATTTTATTTTTAAAATCCATAGCGGAGGTTTGTGTCATATGAGGTGTATTTTGCATATCTCTCAGTAGCCAACGATCTGTGAGTCTGTTGGCTCGGACATAAACTCTGTCATAAATGTAGTCTACATTTCATAAGAGGTGTAAAACCTGAGAGCATTTTAAATCGCATTTGAACTAAATGCTTATATAATCTGTAGTTGTATTTGTATTGTTGATTTAATGTGTGAACGAGGCGATATAGAGAAGGTTAAGCTGTCATTATTAGGTTGTTATATACTGTTGGAGTGGTAAGCAGGCCTATTGTTTTTGGATATTTGTGGAGTTAGGTGGTCCGTGAGTGTTTTTTTATTGGTTAAGTGGTCCTTGGTAGGAAAAAGTTTGAGAAACACTGCGCTAGTGGATTGTCAAAGGGGGAGCCTCGTTGCAGGGACATTATACAGATGGATAGTCCGCCCCTGACAAATGTCTATGCACACGTTATTATTAATAATTAAAAAAAATTGATTAAAAAAAATGATAAAAAACATTTATTAATTTTTTTTAATTTTCTATTTTAATTATGTAATCATCTCGCGACCCCCACTTTGGGAACCCCTGGGTTAATCAAATGTGTCTGTGTCCCTTTGAAATGATTTCTGATAATCCATAAGAAATAAACCTGCTTTCCCGTTTCCAGATGTCAGAGAGAGAGATAGGTTCACTCTGATGCAAACCTGCATGCGCAAAGCTCCCACCTTTTTTTTTACCATGTGTGTGTATGGGGAATTCCCCTTCGATTCTATTGGCTCTAACGGTCAAAAAGAGATGTCAATCACCAAAATCGACCAATGGGTTCCAGTGAAACGGTAAAAACGGCCATTTCCACCCAAATCACCTCAGAGGTGGAGTTTTTTTTGATAAACCTCTCTAAAAAGGTCAAATGTCACTTGTTTTGCATCAATCTTGATACAGGGTTCTTATTATATGTTGTACTTTGGATTCCTAAAGCTTTTAGTCTACCAAGGGTAGTTTTCACTATAAAAAAAAGAATTTTTGGACGGACACTATAATTTACAGTTTTTTACTATGTTCAATCATAATTTTCTTTAAAATAAAAAACATCTATATTGATTCTGACTTTTCTACATCCAACTCACATGTTTATCATTACTTTGAGAAAAAAGATTATTAATTTAACCCTTTTAGAAGGGAAGATATGGTCATTTGTTCTGGGAATGTCATTTTCGAGCCTGAGACCTGAAAAACAGGCTCAGGGCTTAACAGGTTAACTATAAGAGTAAAAATAGGAAATCATTGGTGAGTCCAAGAAATCAATGAATTCTTCTGACAAAACGAAAATATATGGTGGATAGGATCAGAAATAAGTGGACATTGGTTCTTATATTGTTTTCTGCATGACGCCTATTCATTGCGTTTAATGGACTGATGGCACATTACTCATGGCCAGGCCCTCCCATTTGACATTCCTGCCCTCCCCCAATAAACACGTTTTTTTTAAAATTATAAATAAATGGTGAACTTTTATACTACGATGTATAGTCAGATAGTAACTAAAACAGATTGCAGGCTACGTCAAATAAATGCATGTCTGTTGTGATTTGTGATTCGTCCACATTTAGACCAATCACAGCGTCACACTCTGCCGCCTATTCTGGATTTGTTTATTGTTTATTGTGCATTCTGTAGACTCCCATTTCTGTTTGAATTACAAAATGGACATCAGAAATTGGCTTAAAAGGTGTAAGGATTTATTAAAACGAAATAGCGATGAATAGGGGTGTAACGGTTCACAGAAGTCACGGTTCGGTTCATACCTCGGTTTGGGGGTCACGGTTCGGTACGGGTTCGGTACAACAAGGAAAAGCAAAGAAAAGTCCCAAATGCATAATTTTTTTTTGCTGTTATTTATTTTTAACAGTCGTGCAAGTTTTGGTATGAAAATAAGGAACTCTAACATTTGGAATCATTAACTGTATATTACACAGTTAAAAACAAACCACAAACAGTAACACACACACTCAGATGGCCATATTATTTATATTGGCTGATGTCAAACTAAGAGGTTAAATAAGCTGTACAACTAAAAAGAATGTCTTGAAAATATAAAAATAAATAATAAGAAAGTGTTTCAATCACAATCAATAAAAGGCAACTGTAACATCTCCTGATGTCAAAATATAAAATAAATACAATAATAAATATAAAACAAAATATAATCTGTACCTTTAGGAGCAATGTCTAACATGTGTAATTAACTTGTGAGTGTGTGAGGCCATTATGCCTAAATAAAGGTACTCAAGCTTTACTCTATTTTCAAGTTTTTCTTCAAAAAGATGAGTTTGTCTACGTTGTCAGTAGTGAGGGCAGATCTGTTGGCGGTAACTATGTCACCTGCCGTCGAGAAAGCCCTCTCGCTGGGGACTGAGACTGACTCGGATGTGCTTGAGCATGTTTGACGTGTTACCACTAGCATACCGCACCGCTGTCGAACAACGCCGACACACCGTCCTCGTCCGATCCACAACTCGCACCCCATCATTGTTGTAGTCCACAGGGAACCCGAAATGTTCCCACATACCTGATTTAAAAGAAGCAGGTGGGTCTTATAGCTCCTGTGTGTTGTGTGAACTCGCCGTAGCTACTAACTTTTCTTCTTCATATGTTGTGTTCGTTTTGTTGTGTTTTGTTCTTGTTCTTCATTTGTTATTTACGGGCGGCTGGCTTTTAGGCGCAATACCGCCCCCTGGATTATATATAGTGTAATACTGCCCTGAGTGACAGACTTTTTTCCCACTCGTAAAAAAAGGCGTATTCGCCGTGTGACTGCATGTGCCGAACCCGTGACATCAGAACCGTGAAGGTACGGGACGAATACGGATACCGTTACACCCCTAGCGATGAAAGAACTGCAGCCGATGCAGCTGCTGGCGACCCTGCACCTGCCGTTGCAGCAGTACGCCTTAATGTCACAAGCTTGACCTCGGCAAACCCCGGGGCTGAGTTAGCGAGCCCAAGCCTTGACTCATCAAGGCGGCCGCCACCAACGCTGTCCTCCGATGCACAGCTCCTTGTGCCCCTACCATTACCACCTGCATTGCACACCACACCCGCCAGCATCATCATCATCATCATCATCCTCCTCCTCCTCCTCCTCCTCCTCCTCCTCCTCCTCCTCCTCCTCCTCCTCCTCCTCCTCCTCCTCCTCCTCCTCCTCCTCCTCCTCCTCCTCCTCCTCCTCCTCCTCCTCCTCCTCCTCCTCTGTCTCCGTGCCGGTGCCTCCACTACAGACGCTACCTTGCAGCACATCAACAGGTACTATTGGGCCAGCAACCGCTCAAAGACCAACAGCCCCAGATGATCTTGGGGTTAATAAACCCAACCAGGTGAAACTGGATCGTTATCCAGGGAGATTGTTTTCAGGAAAGAAGTGCACTTTTGCCGCTGCATGGTACAACAATAGACCATGGCTTGAATATTCGTTAAAAGCAGACGCAGCCTTTTGTTTCCCCTGTAGACAGTTTAAAGTAAATACGTCTTCATCTGATGCGGCTTTTATTGTCAAAGGTTTTTACGACTGGAAACACGCATTACAGACTAGAAGGACTGCTAAGACATGCCGCATCAAAAGAACACATTTCATGTGAGAGTTTGTGGAGAAAGAGAGAGAGATACGCAAGGAAACAAATAAGGAAATTAGTACTTTGGTGCAGATCAGCTGGCACGGAACCGTTATTACGTGTCAGCTGTCGTTGATATTATAGGAGCTTTTTTAGCTGTCAACCAACTCCCTCTCAGAGGTGACCACGATTCACTCCACAGCATGTCCGAGTCAGGCAGTGGGCTCTTCCTATCGCTATTTGAGTATACGCAGTACAAAGATGCAGAGTTGGCCAAAATAATGGAAAGCATTCCCCACACAGCAACATACACCTCTCACGACATGCACAATGCCATAATAAAACTAACAGCAGTTCATCGTCTCCGTTTCTACTATTTCTCTCCGAGTGCAACGATGAGGAAGCTGCCATCCTTAACCAGTGTGCCTTGCTCGTGATTTACCAGTGTTTGTGCTGCCACGCACACAATGTTTCAAAAGTGGTTTCTATGTTGCCATTTATTTTTGTATGTATTTGCGATAAGTGTGCGTCTTTGCACAATGCTGTTGGCCTTGCTGTTTGATATATAGTGTGCCACAGGCCCGCAGCACGTGATGGTTTTGTGTGCCCTCCCATGAAAATCATATGCCCTCCCTTTAGATTTGTTCTGGCGCCGGGTCTGACATTACTACACTCTATTGTTGCAGGTCTTCTTTAAAGCGGGCTTACTCGGCACTCTGGAGGAGCTGCGAGATGAAAAGCTGGTCTCTCTCGTGACCCAGACTCAAGCAGTGTGTCGTGGGTATCTCATGAGAAAACAAATCTCTAACCTAATTGCTCAAAAGTAGGGTCAACACCATAAAATGCTCTTTTACAATGATAGTATCAAACCAAAACGACTAAAAACTATTATCTTACAGAGACTGCGTCTGGATTCTGCAGTTTAACTTGCGCTCGTTCATGAATGTGAAACACTGGCCGTGGATGAAGCTGTTATTTAAAATCAAGCCGCTTCTAAAGAGTGCAGGGACCGAAAAGGAGATGGTGAACATGACGGAGGACTTTGTCAAAAACAAAGATGACCTTGTAAAGTCGGAGACCAAGAGGAAGGACCTGGAAGAGAAGATGGTTTCTCTTTTGCAGGAGAAAAATAACCTCCTTCTGCAATTACAATCTGTGAGTGACAACGCAAGTAAAAGCCACTGATCTCCATCAAATCATCTCAACAATCAAATGTAACCGTTATTCTTTATTTTTCCTAGGACTCAGAAAATATTTGCGATGCAGAGGAGAAATGCGAAGGCTTGATCAAAAGCAAAATCCAGCTGGAGGCCAAACTCAAAGAGGTGACCGAGAGACTGGAGGACGAGGAGGAGATGAACGCTGAGCTGACCGCCAAGAAGCGGAAGCTCGAAGACGAATGCTCTGAACTCAAGAAGGATATTGAAGACCTGGAGACGACTCTGGCTAAAGTGGAGAAGGAGAAACATGCCACAGAGAACAAGGTTTGGGATTTCTCTGGTAATGTTTGATGGAATATCTCCTTATATGGAGCCGAGTATCCCTGAAAAACGTTGCATTTCTATAGAAATGTATCGCTGTGAGTTTAGGTGTTGTCCAATGAACAACAGATGGGATTTTTGTGAAGACAGAGCTACCAAGTTGCACTTTATAAATCTCTTTGTATTTTTGCAAATAACCACCAACAACAAAACACTGGTACAAAGAGAGTTTACATTGTAATAATAATGAATTTGTTTCATTAAACTACATTCAGATACAGCTATTTAAAAATAAAATGTTATTAAGGTTGTATTTTTAATAAGTATCTTTTACAGTGTGTTATTTATTTTGTTGTTATTATACATAGTTATTATTTGTTATAGATGCAACCACATTTAGATTAAAGGTACACATTTAACCTTTTCACCTTTACAAAATTCAAAAGGCCATACATTAGTGGTCAAGACTGTTTTTAAATTGATATTCCTTTTACTAAGCCCTATTTTTCATGATCACACTTGTTATTCTCTGGCATTGGGAGAAATGTGAGTGCTGCGTAATTCATGTTTATTCTTCATATTTAATGCATACTACCTATTGCAGGTTAAAAACCTGGTGGAGGAGCTGGCTGGTCAGGAGGAAAACATTGGCAAACTGACCAAAGAGAAGAGAGCACTTCAGGAGGCTCATCAACAAGCACTGGATGATCTTCAGGCAGAGGAAGACAAAGTCAACTCTCTGACCAAAGCTAAAGCCAAGCTGGAGCAGCAAGTGGATGATGTGAGTTATTGTAGACAATAATACAATTACGGTGTTAATAGATATCTTAATTAACTTTGTACAATTTGCTTCAAAGCTGGAGGGTTCACTGGAGCAAGAAAAAAAGGTCTGCATGGACCTGGAGAGTGGCAAGAGGAAGCTCGAGGGGGATCTGAAAATTACTCAAGAATCCCTGATGGACCTGGAAAATGACAAACAACAATCTGAGGAGAAGATTAAGAAGCGAGTTCAAACTGACAGCTCCCAGTTTGTGTTTGAGAGGCAGACACCCTCACATTTGAGTGTATGCTTGAGACCTTCCTCTTCAAAAACGACTGCGCCTTGGCCATTAGAATAAATAAAACTGTGAAATGATAGTCTCATGTTGGATAAACGCGTCATCTAAATGAAAGGCAACACATGATAAAGTTTATAACAAGAGGCTGGTTCAAGGCAAGCCTGAGTCAGCCCCTAGTTTTTATTGTATGCTGGCTTAAGCTACATTCACACATGTTGCTTAAGCCACATAGGTAATTTTTGCGCATAGGTAAGTGTTACAACCTTACTTAAGGCTGGAAACAAAGAGGGAGGCCACACAGAGTTAAATGCCAATCAGATGTTTATTTAACAGTTTAAAATAAAATACCTCCGAGTAATTGTGTATGTAAGAATAAGACTGTCAGTAGTGTCAGCAGTGTGTGGATGTGTGGAAGTGTGCTGTAAGCATGTTGGATGGTGCATCAAACCAAACACAGGTGGTAGGCTGAGGTTGCTGCAGCAGGCCAGGATCAGAATCAGAGAGTGAACCTTCCAGTTGGGCAAGCCTTTATGCCTTCTTGAGGCTCTGCCTCGAGATGGGCGGGCATAAACAGGATGACACTCCCAGTACCTGCCAGAGGACAGCAAGGCAGGGAGCACAGACAGGCAGAAGGGGGGAGGGGTCGTCACAGTAAGGCTTCAGGAAAGGAATAATGGAAAACCGTTAATTGTACTTTTGTTTAATTATATTGGATCATGGAAATAAAAGGAACAAAACGACTCTTGCCCAGTCTTGTATCATTTACCCCTGTGTAAGATTCTCCAACTGGTGCCTCAGCAGTTTTATTTTTAGTTAATTATCTGTTTTATTTCTTTATGATTTTGGCTGCTACAGGCTGTATATAAATATAATTGGATTTGATTGATGACATCTCATATCTTCTTTTCCTTGCAGAAAAGAGTTTGAAAACAACCAGCTGCTCAGCAAAATTGCAGACGAGCAAACGATTAATAACCAGCTTCAGAAGAAGATGAAGGAGCTCCATGTAATAAAACTCACATAAAAGTAATGCATTCATTTGACTGATAACTACCCTAATGGTATGCATGCTGTATTTCTTTATTTGAAGACTCATATTGAAGAGCTGGAAGAAGAAGTCGAGGCCGAGCGAGCTGTCCGGGCGAAGATCGAGAAGCAGAGGTCCGATCTCTCGAGGGAGCTGGAGGAGATCAGCGAGAGGCTGGAGGAGGCCGGGGGGGCCACCACCCTGCAGATCGAGATGAGCAAGAAGCGGGAGGCAGAGTTCATCAAGCTGCGGCGGGACCTGGAGGAGGCCACGCTGCACCACGAGGCCACCACCGCCACGCTGCGCAAGAAGCAGGCGGACAGCATGGCCGAGCACGGAGAGCAGAACAACAACCTCCAGAGGATCAAACAGAAGCTGGAGAAGGAGAAGAGTGAGATGAAGATGGAGATCGACGATTTGTCCGTTAATTTGGAAACTGTTGCGAAAACTAAGGTGATTTTGTTAAAGGTCACCTATTATGCAAAAGCTACTTTTTCATGTATTTTACACATCAACATGTGTCCCCTCTTCTTCATGTCTCTTCTACATCAACATGTGTCCCCTCTGTGGAAAGAGATTCTGAAAGTTTCAGGAACAAAGATTCTCTCTCTTTTTGTCCTGATCCATTTCTATAAAAACCTGTCTGAAAATGAGCTGATCAGATTTTGGCCACTTTATGATGTCATAACGATTTTTTGGCTTGTGTAACCATTAGCCAATCACCAACCAAGGTAACCCCCCCCCCCACCAACCTTATCACCTGAATCTCCTCCTAGAGCTCCATTGAGTTATTTGTAACCAAATCTCTCTCAGAGTGGCGTGGGGAGGGGCTCCTTATTTTCATCTAAAGTAAAAGACAGAGAATCAGCACTTTTGAAACAGGGCTGAAACAGAGGGGATTATGGGATGCTGCAATGATCTGTTTGGTATTTCGAGCCAAACACTTCAGAGACATGTTTTGTATATATCTGAGACCAATAATATATTGATGAAAAACAGTATAATAGGGGATAATAACAGCAATGTCTCATAATCAATAAGATCCTCATATGGTTGTAGCTTTGTCCCTGTCCTGTGACAACCACGGATCTCTTAAAGTCAACTTTTCATGACTTTCTCAGAAAAACAGCAGACCTCAGCCTTGTGATGATGTGTTTTCCAGCTGATCCAAGAGGATTTTTAAAGACTGAAATGCTCATTTAAATTAAATGTTTGCAATGCATAAAAGAACACTTCTTCCTTCAGTTTATCAAAATTAACACTTTGGGGATACGTGGTGTTCACTGTACAGAGAAAGGATGACAAACTGTCATCTGAAAAGTAACTAAAGCTGTCAGACAAATGTAGAGCAGAAAAACATTTACGTTTTATGGAGTAGAAATGAGTATGAAACGAAACAACTTAAAGGTGGGGTAGGTAATTCACTTCAGGAACACTTTTTGTTATATTCCATGGAATGCTCTTAACATCCCGATAGCAATGAATATATTAAATGCTTTGACAAAAAATACATTAAAAAATGTCATCTGTGGAAGCCGTAGTACTGTAAAAAGCACGACCAATCATTTTAGCCGGCCCGGCTAAAATAACTGGATGGCCTACCTGCCTGTCAGCCTTCCATCTGTGCACAAACTTATCTCGTGCCCTCATTGGTCATGTGCGCGTTCGTGTGTGTTGGAGGAGGGACTCTGTAAGGAAGTCTGAAGGAAGTGGAAGATTGTTTCCGGTTGTGTACTTATAATTCTAGCACACTCGAGCTGGTTTCTCCAAAATTACATACCCCACCTTTAAGTAACGTACTAGTACCTCAAAAGTGTAACTCATTACAAATACTCACCTACATACATAATACAGTGCGTAATGTACAACCTTTACACATTTGTAGGTGAACCTGGAGAAGACCTGTCGCTCACTTGAAGATCAACTTATGGAGCTAAAGACAAAGAATGACGAGAACTTGCGGCAGATGTCCGATCTAAACAATCAGAGGGCTCGTTTCCAAACTGAGAATGGTAAGGTATTTTTCTCCTTTAAAAAAAAGTGATGTAGAGGAAGTATTCAGATCCACACTGTGAACAAAATCAGTTATGATGTAAGAGTGAAGTAAAAGTCCTGCATTGATAAAGTGACTTTAGTAAAAGTACATAGTCTGAAAGAATGTAGGCTGTTCAAAGCACTAATGTTGTGTTTGAGTTGGAGCTCACTCTGAACTATTACCTAATGAGAATGTTATATTAAGTTGTACTTATGTGCAGTACTTAGGTCAAAGTAATTCATTTCCTTACACCATTGGTTTGTATTGAAAGAAACGTTGTTTTTTTAGCTGAATATTCCCGACAGATGGAAGAAAGCGAGAGTCTCATCTCGCAGCTGACTAGAGGAAAGCAGGGATTCACCACGATGATCGACGAGTTAAAGAGACAGGTGGAGGAGGAAACAAAGGTCAGTAAAGGTTTGGTAACACTTTTCTGCTTTACTTTGCTTCTTTTACTCATTAAATGTGTTTTGGTTGTTTTTCTGTCTAGGCTAAAAACGCTCTGGCTCACAGCGTGCAGTCGGCCCGGCACGACTGCGACCTCCTGAAGGAGCAGTTTGAGGAGGAGCAGGAGGCCAGAGCCGAGCTGCAGCGCTGCCTGTCCAAAGCCAACAGCGAGGTGGCGCTGTGGAGGAACAAATACGAGACGGACGCCATCCAACGCACCGAGGAGCTGGAGGAGGCCAAGTAATCATCAGTTAGCAGTGGTGTAGTGGGGATTTTTTTACTGGGGGGACGCTATTTTAATTAGGTAATCCCAAACAATGCCACACAAGTGCGCATGCGCACAGTGCACTCACAAAACGGGCAGACAGGTCCACAGAAACTACCGGTATGCTTAGTCCTACTTTAGTTAGGCGCTCAACACACACACAGACTCAAAACCATGGACACACTGGCACATAAGTTACATAAACAATGTATAGGCCTAATGCAGACATGGCGCTGCTTTTCACACACACACACCTTGCGTTTTCAATCAATCAGTTTTGAAGACTGATACATCCGAAATGGATGAACAAACGTTGCAGCCCAGTTTCCCAGCTTTGCAGTCTATCCACGGGTATTCCTCTTGTTTCCTCCACCACATCTCATCTGCTCCGTCCATACCTCTGGGAAAGGTAAGCTTGAGCTAGCCAGGGGGACGTTGCTAGCGCAGCTAACGTGCACGTTAGCTAGCATTATCCACGTCTTTAGGCGGCTCTTCTGATGATGGCAGCTTCACTTGTAGCTTCGGTGCTGCTAGCCTCTTTCTTCTTGTGAATTATATTCTTTTTAGAAAATAAGTCAAGTAAAAAACGTTTGCCTGCCATTATAGGGCTTTTTCGTTAGAGTTCTTGAGGGAAAGAGCTGCCGCAAAATCGTCAGGCGGCGAGCTGGCTCGCCATGGGGTCCCGAGCGTGATGACGAATCATAATTCTTTAAGGAAATCGTTTTTATTTTGTATTATAATTACTGTGAAATGTATTATGTTTTTGTCATTATTACAACAAATACACACTTGCAACTGATAACACTGGCAATGATTTTATATTTATTAGACTATTAAAAAAAAGATCATGCTCCAAATAAGTGGGGGTACGGCGTACCCCCGCGTCCAACGCCCACTACACCACTATCAGTTAGACTCAAACATCAAACGGTCTCTAATAGATAGGATAGCTCTAAAGGAGCTCAATTTACAGTATATTTCTTTATTCGTTTTTCACATTCAAAAGTACATTTTCTTTCTACTGATTTATATTGGCTTTCTTTTTTTTTTACATTGTTTGGGAAATTCAATTTGTCTCAATGTGTACCAGCAACATGGAAATACATATATATGTTTTTAAATATATTAAAAACTGACTGACTATTTGAATATATTGCAATAGTAATATATTATATTTATCACTGGTGTTTTATGACATTTCCAAGGAAAACAAGACTTAATTACAGACCCATTAATCAATTCACTGATATGTCATATTGGCTGCATTCTAGCACTCACTTAATCTTTTTGTACATACTGTAACAAATGTTGCCTTTTAAACTTTTAAACAAAGTGGTTACATTTTTGACAGGAAAAAGCTTGTTCAGCGTCTCCAAGAGGCCGAAGAGCAAATCGAGGCGGTGAATTCAAAGTGGGCCTCTCTGGAGAAAACCAAGCAGAGACTCCAGAACGAGATGGAGGACCTCATGGTGGAAGTAGAGCGGTCCAACAGCGTGGCAGCCACCCGCGACAAGAAGCAGAGGAACTTTGACAAGGTATTAGCGTTTATTAATACCACATCAATGTCATAAAACACATCATTAATAGTATGGTACTGACACGTTTTCTGGATCTGTATTTGGATTTAAGTCTGGGCATGTATATTTATATTGGAATTTTCTTTTACCGAATATTTATTGTCAGTGACATTTTTGTGATTTCAAAGCTTTAAATTGATAGAATATGGGCATATAATGAATGTTATATTTTTAATTTAGACTGAACTTTTTATCCCTCCTGTCTTTTATTTAATTTTTTATCTTTAGCTAATCTAAGTTTATGACATTGTTCTTTCAATATTTGAGTAACATTTCAATTATATTTACTACTTTCAAAGTGAATGTTCCATCTTATTTTTCAAGTTGTGCAGTATCTGTTTATCATAAACCTTTGACAAAAAGCATCTTCTATATATTCTATCCATTTATGCATCTTATATTCTCAACATTTGGAAAAAGACACATTTGTGGTGAAAAGACTACTTTCTACCAGCTAATGTTTCACTGAATTCAGATCGTGGCCGAGTGGAAGCAGAAGTACGAGGAGTCCCAGGCGGAGCTGGAGAGCGCTCAGAAGGAGTCTCGATCTCTGAGCAACGAACTCTTCAAACTGAAGAACTCCTACGAAGAAGCGCTGGATCATCTGGAGACCATGAAGAGGGAGAATAAAAACCTGCAACGTGAGTCAAGTCTCACTGTGAGAAAAGAGCAGCTTATGTTGTTAGGAACATTTTAAAATCTTTAATTCTGTTTTGATCACAGAGGAGATCTCTGACTTCACGGAGCAAATAGGGCAGAGCGGGAAGACGGTCCACGAGTTGGAGAAGTTCAAGAAGCAGGTGGAGACGGAAAAATATGACATGAAGACTTCTCTGGATGCAGCTGAGGTATCAATGATCACAAACATTAAATACTTCTCAAGCATTGGTGAAGTACAGAGGGGGAATTTAACTAAGTTTTCACTTAAGTAGAATTTTAACGTCCTTGCCACTTTTTCTTATACTCAACTATATTCCTTAGTTAAATATTGTACTTTTACACATACAGTGGGGCAAACAAGTATTTAGTCAGCCACCAATTGTGCAAGTTCTCCCACTTAAAAATATGAGAGGCCTATAATTGTCATCCTAGGTATACCTTAACTATGAGAGAAAAAAAAATCCAGAAAATCACATTGTCTGATTTTTAAAGAATTTATTTGCAAATTATGGTGGAAAATAAGTATTTGGTCAATAACAAAAGTTCATCTCAATACTTTGTTATACCCTTTGTTGGCAATGACAGAGGTCAAACGTTTTCTGTAAGTCTTCACAAGGTTTTCACACACTGTTGCTGGTATTTTGGCCCATTCCTCCATGCAGATCTCCTCTAGAGCAGTGATGTTTTGGGGCTGTCGCTGGGCAACACAGACTTTCAACTCCCTCCAAAGATTTTCTATGGGGTTGAGATCTGGAGACTGGCTAGGCCACTCCAGGACCTTGAAATGCTTCTTATGAAGCCACTCCTTCGTTGCCCGGGTGGTGTGTTTGGGATCATTGTCATGCTGAAAGACCCAGCCACGTTTCATCTTCAATGCCCTTGCTGATGGAAGGAGGTTGTCACTCAAAATATCACGATACATGGCCCCATTCATTCTTTCCTTTACACGGATCAGTCGTCCTGGTCCCTTTGCAGAAAAACAGCCCCAAAGCATGATGTTTCCACCCCCATGTTTCACAGTAGGTATGGTGTTCTTTGGATGCAACTCAGCATTCTTTCTCCTCCAAACACGTCTAGTTGAGTTTTTACCAAAAAGTTCTATTTTGGTTTCATCTGACCATATGACATTCTCCCAATCCTCTTCTGGATCATCTAAATGCTCTCTAGCAAACTTCAGACGGGCCTGGACATGTACTGGCTTAAGCAGGGGGACACGTCTGGCACTGCAGGATTTGAGTCCCTGGCGGTGTAGTGTGTTACTGATGGTAGCCTTTGTTACTTTGGTCCCAGCTCTCTGCAGGTCATTGACTAGGTCCCCCTGTGTGGTTCTGGGATTTTTGCTCACCGTTCTTGTGATCATTTTGACCCCACGGGGTGAGATTTTGCGTGGAGCCCCAGATCGAGGGAGATTATCAGTGGTCTTTAGGGCTGAACGATATACCGTGTCATGGCGATAACCGCGGTATGCGCATGCGCGGTATTCACACCGCAGGGACGTGCGGTTTTATTCATTTAAAAAAAAAAAATGCTAACGCACTTTAGCACAGAATTCAAAATAAAGATACCCTTATTACTTATCGAAACTGCACATACAATATATCCGATTAAAGCTGAGACTCCACAGATTATTTAAGTATAGTATCTCAGCGATCCGATCTCGCAACAGGGGAAGCAAACACAGACATCACAACACGTACCTTTTACGGAGCTTTTACGGGAGATCGTCTCACCGTAGCTGTCAATCTGATCAAAAGACGTGTTCAATGGCATTAAAACGAGAAAGAAAAAACGCAGCTGAATCGGTTGATCCATAGGTTGATAATGTATCTGTGGCTTTGAAGCAATTGTTTATAATCCATAATTCCATTTTTATGTAAAAATCGGATCACAAAAGTTAGCTGCTAATGGTAGCTACCTTGGTGGTATGCAGCTTCCGGTTTTGGCTACGCGTCGTCACTCTTACACCTTATTTGTTCATGTGTTGGTGTGTGTAGAACTTCCCCTGATATTTGACCTTTGTTTTTAGACAGATTTAGCACCAAAAAAACCCTCTTTTGGGGCCATTTGGGTGGATTTTCCATATCTCTGGCCCACCTTGCTGGATTTTGACATGTGACATCTCTTGCTGACCGTCAGAGCCAATGGAATCGAGGGGAAATCACACAGTCCTTATTTGGTAATGTGTGTGTGAGAGACTTCCGCATAGCCAAGACCGGAAGCAGCAGCCACTCTGGTGGCTACCATTAGCAGCTAACTTTTGCTCTGCGATATTTACATAAAAATGGAATTATGGATTATAAATTAAATCATTTTTTTATACAGAGACGTTAAAAACCTATGGATTAACCGATTCAGCCGCGTTTTTTCTTTCTCGTTTTAATGCCATTGAACACGTCTTTTGATCAGATTGACAGCTACGGTGAGACATCTCCCCTCGAAGCTACGTAAAGGTACGTGTTGTGATGTCTGTGTTTGCTTCCCCTGTCCGAGTTCAGATCACTCAGTGATGATACTATATACCTAAATAATCTGTGGAACCTCAGCTTTAATCGGATATCTTGTAAGTGCAGCTACGATAAGTAATAATAAGGGCACTTTTATCTTGAGTTCTGTGCCAAAGTGCGTTAGCATTTTTCGCTCAGGGGTCATTTAGATGCTTCTTATGAGACTTGTGTTTTGTTTTGGTATAAAATGGTTTGTATCGTCAGTTAGCTGAGATTATTTCCGTTAATCTGGTATAACACATTAATAGGTTCTTAAATATTACGATCCCCTGAGACACTGTCGTGAAAAAAAAGTAAAGTACCCGCCGGGACTTTGGGGTTTAACAGGTTAAAAAAAACGCAATATATACCGCAGGGGGGGGGGAAAACCGCGATGTCAGTTTTTTTCAATACCGTGCAGCCCTATTGGTCTTGTATGTCTTCCATTTTCTAATAATTGCTCCCACAGTTGATTTCTTCACACCAAGCTGCTTACCTATTGCAGATTCAGTCTTCCCAGCCTGGTGCATGTCTACAATTTAGTTTCTGGTGTCCTTTGACAGCTCTTTGGTCTTGGCCATAGTGGAGTTTGGAGTGTGACTGTTTGAGGTTGTGGACAGGTGTCTTTTATACTGATAACGAGTTCAAACAGGTGCCATTAATACAGTTAACAAGTGGAGGACAGAGGAGGCTCTTAAAGAAGAAGTTACAGGTCTGTGAGAGCCAGAAATCTTGTTTGTTTGTAGTTGACCAAATACTTATTTTACCGAGGAATTTACCAATTAATTCATTAAAAATCCTACAATGTGATTTCCTGGATTCTTTCCCCCCATTCTGTCTCTCATAGTTGAAGTGTACCTAGGATGAAAATTACAGGCCTCTCTCATCTTTTTAAGTGGGAGAACTTGAACAATTGGTGGCTGACTAAATACTTTTTTGCCCCACTGTATGTCTGTCAGTTTTATTTACTTCACAAATTAAGATTTTTGCACATTTTTGATAATCTTTGAATTCCTGAATGGTTCCAACTTCTCAAATGTAAACATTTCCTGGTTTTCCTTCAAATATTGGAAATATTTTTATTTTATTATATTCAATTCATCTCATTACCTTGATTTCACTTCATCTTAAAGATATATATAATACTTTGAAAAAAATATAAAACTTTATTTTCTGACTTTACAGATTAACATTTCTTATCCTCTTCTTGTCTTGTGAAAACCAAGTATCTCCAGATGATTTTGAATATTTTATGATAAACTGAAGTGTTGAAAATGATTTTAAACTAATTAAAATCTCTTGGATCAGCTGGGTAATGAATCGTCACAAAGCTGAAAACAGGGCTAGCGTCAAAGCTACAAACGTATGACAATGTTATAGAATAAGATACATTTCCATAGATCCAACTGACCAACAGTATATAAAAGAGTAAAATACTTCCTCCAGCCCCGTGTAAGAACCAACTGATGTTGTTTTCAAAGGCCTCCCTGGAGCAAGACGAGTCAAAGATCCTGCGTGCGCAGATGGAGCTGAACCAGGTGAAGGCTGAGGTGGACAGGACGGTGGCGGAGAAAGACGAGGACATGGACCAGCTGAGGAGGAATAGCCAGAGACTGATGGAGTCCATGCAGACCACTCTGGACGCTGAGGTGCGGAGCAGGAACGACGCGCTGAGGGTGAAGAAGAAGATGGATGGGGACCTGAACGAGATGGAATTCCAGCTGAGTCATTCTAACAGGCAGGCTGCCGAGTCACAGAAACAGCTGAGGAACGTCCAGGGGCAACTCAAGGTACAGCAAGATATAAAGCAAAAACCAGATCCGGTTTAGACAATCGCTTAGGCATGTAAATCTAATCTAAACGCATTTCTAGGACGCCCAGATCCACCTGGATGATTCCATCAGAGGGCAGGACGACATGAAGGAGCAGGTGGGCATGATGGAGCGCAGGACGGCTCTGATGCAGGCCGAGGTGGAGGAGCTCCGAGCGCTCGTGGATCAAATGGAGCGGAGCCGCAAAATATCTGAGCAGGAGCTGGTGGACGCCAGCGAGCGAGCAGGACTGCTACACACTCAGGTAGGTGGTTTATGAGTATCAAACATATTGGAATAAACCCCTTTTTATATCCAGGCATCACACTGGTCGAATACAATCTTTGGATTTAAGTCTCTTTTTATCTTTTGCAGAACACGAGTCTTCTTAACACCAAGAAGAAGCTGGAGGCGGATATAACGCAGTTGCACGGAGAGATAGAGGAAGCCGTTCAGGAGGCGAGGAACGCAGAGGAGAAGGCCAAGAAAGCCATCACTGATGTGAGTGCATTCAGACACTCACTATTTAGCTCATGAACATTTCTCAAATGTTTGTTTTCATTCTTAGGATACTTTCAGGTGGAGGACATTTGTATGAACAGTTCAAAACATACTTTAAAGCAAATTCTTAGATGTTGTTCTAGTTAAATGTCTGACTTGCAGAGGTTGATTTCCATTAGATTTAAGAAAAAGTCCCGCCTGACAAAAAAGGTTAACAAAAAGTGCTTTTAACTGCTGTTTAGTAAGCTATTTCCCTTATCTGCTGACACACACTTTTCTGTTTTTTCTACAATGTTTCTAGTGATTTTTTTCTTCATTATGTTTCGGTCTAATAATTTACCATCATTACTATAGAGTTGTATTATTTTTCTTATATTTATATTGAGTTCTCTGTAAGACGTGTCATTTTAATACCATTATTTAATTACATTATAGGTGGAGCTTTAAATAAATCAGTGGGTTTTCTGTCTCTTCCTGTACGATATATAATGTATCTGTGTTATGTTTGTGTATTTATAATAGAGCAAATAAAGAGCCTGTGCTGAATAAATGCTTTGCTCTTATTCGGGCACCTGCAGGCGGCCATGATGGCGGAGGAGCTGAGGAAGGAGCAGGACACCAGCGCTCCCCTGGAGAGGATGAAGAAGAACCTGGAGGTGACGGTGAAGGATCTGCAGCACCGCTTAGACGAGGCGGAGAACCTGGCCATGAAGGGCGGGAAGAAACAGCTCCAGAAACTGGAAGCAAGGGTATGTCTCATGTTTCTGCTTCCACATTAGAGATTCATAGAAATAATAATAATAATAATAATAATAATAATAATAATAATAATAAAAAAAGGTTTTAAGGTTTGTAATCTGCACCAGAATTGACATGATGGAGATCAGAGAATATCCAGTCTCTCTTCAAGGACAAATTGTGCTTTTATGCTAAATGAAAACCCTGTCAAAGTAATTTAAATATTAGATTTATTGCAGTGTGACTAAGAACAATCCATCAAGAATACTGTATGTTTCTGTGTAGTTGTCCATAAAGGTATCAACTAAAGTCCCTAGACAGAAGTCTAAATAAAACCCTGGAAAATCATTGAATCTCTTGCTGTCCAGGTCCGTGAGCTGGAGAGCGAGCTGGAAGCTGAGCAGAAACGTTTGACGGAGGCCGTGCAGGGAGTCCGTAAATATGAGAGGAAAGTCAAAGAGATGAGCTATCAGGTACAGAAACTCTGTTTCTCCTTATCTTTTATTGAAGCATTTCACCTCCATATTAATGTTGTACAAATATACCTGTACTTGTTTCAGTGTGAGGAAGACAAGAAAAACAACACTCGACTGCAGGACTTGGTGGACACGCTGCAGAACAAGATGAAGGCCTACAAACGGAACGCAGAAGAAGCTGTGAGTGAATCAAGATTTGCAGAAACATTTTCAGTAATTGCCTCACCACTGGAGATGTTGTTATTAACGTTTAAAGATTATATAAAATATGAATCCTCTTGTAGATAGACTTTTCTTATATAATGTTTAGGGCTGTCAAACGATTACAATTTTTAATTAATCACAGCTTAAAAATGAATTAATCATGATTAATCACCATTCGAACTATGTCCAAAATACGCCATTTCTTTATGTATATTGTTGTGGGAATGTTTTTTGTAAAAATGTTCTGTGTGTCAAAAGGAAAGAGAGCACCTATCAATCATCAAACCGTGGGGTCTTAATTCATTACATGTTGATTTCTATCAACGGGGGAGTCCTTCAGGAAAGTCGTGACCACAGAGTGTGAACGTTGTGATCAGCTGTTTTAGCGCAGTTCTCCAGTGAAGGGGGGAGTCTCCCTCCGCAGTCGGTTGGCGTAGTTTTGGCACAATTCCGTTGTACAGACCGACGTTAACAGCAGCCCTGTCTGTGCACACGGAGACCGACTCTGTCGTCCGGTGATCTAACCGCCTTCTGGAAAAGCTTCACAAGTACGTCGGTACGCAAATGCGCTTTGTGACACAAGTGGCGGTACGCATTTCAGATTACGCACATAACCTGCATACCAGTTATGTGTTACCTGTACTACAGCAACAGTATTCTCCGTCGGGACTTCCTGCAACAACACCACACCGTTATCTTGATTCTGATTGACCAGAAGACATTATCAAAGATGTTCTATTGGGAAGACGATCACTACGTGACAAAAGTTTTCTCTGGTCTTCGGTATTTCGAGACAAGTGGCTTAGACATGGTGGGGCTAAGCCATTTCTTGGTATGGGTGTAGCCGGGTAGGCTACACCCATACCTTACCCATACCCTGGCGCTGCCACTGGTGGGATGTATGGGGCGGGCCATTCTGCACATGCGTTAAATATTTTAATGCAATTAATTCAAAAAATGTATTACCGCCATTAACGCGATAATTTTGAGAGCATTAATAATGTTATTTCTACAAATTCTAAAGACACATCTGTTTTCTCTGAGAAGTAGTCATTTTTTAGGGTTAAGTCATCATTTTATAAATAAAGTCTTGATTCAACAAGAATTGACTTAAGTCTTAGTTCCTTAATATTTAAAAAAAAAAAAAAAAGTCATATTATAAAAGGAATAAGGTTTTGAACTAGAGAATGCAATTCCTGAAGAAATTGCTAGTGGGAATGCTTTACGGTACGTCCACACAGCAGCTTTAAACAAATCTTCCAACGCTTCCAACGCTTCTCTGCCCATTGACTTTGAATGGGGAAGACGTCACTTTGTCTCGCTTTTCACCGAACTGCATTGTGGGGGAGCGAAGCGAAGATTTCCAGGATTTCCAGGATTCAAAAGTTGAGCAATGTTCAACTTTTGAAGCTGAGCTGGAAGCGTCAGCCAATCAAATCCCGTTTATGCAAATCTGACGGTAGAAGCGATAGCCAATCAAACCGCGTGTAAGCAGGGAGAACCAGACCGCAGTTCATTTCCTCATATTCCAAACGAGAAATTACGGTAGCAAATCACCCGGTTCTTTACGACCAGAACTATTAACGGGATACAAACCGGAGGAACCAGGCATGGAGGGAGGTGGCAGAGACAGTGGGTGAAACTGGTAGGTTTTCTCCTGTTTGGGGAGTTTATATATATATATATATATATATATATATATATATATATATATATATTGCTCGCATAAAATCCCCGGGTTTTTTTGCTTTGTATGTCGGGGGCGGGAGATTCATGTGATTGGTTGTTGGTCGCGTTGCTCGCAAAAAATCCCCAAGCTTTCAGACACGCCCAGCTCCAAGATTTTCAAGATTTTTGAAAAGCTGTTGTGTGGACGTACCGTTATGCTGACGCTGAATTGCTATGCTGAAATGTAATGTGTATGAATAAAGTGAAGAATTTAGATTGAAATGATACATGAACACTGGGGGCTTGAATGTGTGATAAGAGAAGAAAAGAAAGCAAAAACACTTTGAAAAGCAGCAGAATATTTGAAGTGCAAACTTTTGAACTAACTTGATGGCGAATGATCTGTCGCCATGGCAAGGGCATTTGATGACACCCCATAATATGCATAGATGCGTTGATGGCTGCATCGTTACCAAACCTGCAAAGTTTTGGGCCATTTCGAGCATTTTCACTGAAGTTGTGAGAAAACCATGTTTCATAGTGAGAATTGTGTTGCCAAGGCAACGGCATTTGAAGAAATCTTAAAGGTCCTATGTCATGGCCATTTCTACTGATCATAATTCCATTGTTGAGGTCTACTAAAATAGATTTATACTGTGCAATTTTCCAAACTCACATTGATTTCTCATACAGCATCTCTGTAAAGTGTGTGTCCTAAACTCTCTGTCCTAAACGGCTTGTTAGAGCTCCTGCCCCCCCCCCCCCACCTTTTTCATAAGAGTTATAGCAATATTGTGTTTTACGGCGAGGGATGTGTTGCCATGGCAACAACTTTTGAGGAAAACTCACTAATGGCACATAGACATGTTGAAGGCTGGACCATTAACCATTATCTGAAGTCTGCTGCTCTGAGCATGTCAGTTGGAGTGATGACATCATCGTGTTCCATGACACAGGTGTTTATATTTGAGCTAACGAGGTGTCCAGAGATCAAAGGTTTCTATGGTAATGTGCAGTAATCAGTGAGAGGTAGTGTTAATTTCGTTGACTAAAACTATGACGAAATATGTTCGTCAACGACCTTTTTTTCCATGACGAAAACGAGACGATGACGAGACGGCACCGACGGCAGTAAACAATAACTGTAACGAAATCATCATGCAATATCGTTGACGACAAGTGACGAGACGAAAATGTAGTTTACTAAATAAAAACTATGCCAAAATCTCTCTTTACTTTCGTTGACGAAAAATGAGGAGACGAAATATTATCAAAGATAACGTTACATCTCTGATAGTCGGTTTTTCTCCCAGCAGTTCCATTTCCGGTGCTGCGGCAGGGCAGCAGCTGTGTGTCTGTGCTGCGCGCGGCGGTAGATTTGAATTACACCGGGCAGCGGCACACTGTGAACTGTCAGGAAGACTCGGGTCTAACTAACCTTATTTAACAGAAAATAAAATGGCAACAACAGGGCTTGGGAGCAGTGGTCGCACTCGCGTTAACCGAAGACCCCCCCCCCCCCCCCCCCCCCGTCAGCGCGAGTGAGAGATAAATTGTGCACTCGACGGATAATAATGGATTATGACGGAAATGTTACGATCCTGTCCATCAATATGACTGACAACGAAAAAGTCTAAAGCCACCACTGCTTGGGAGAAAGAAACGATGTGATATTTGGGCCCATTTTCGCTACAATGAGGCGGAGAAAAAAAGCGAATGCATTGTTTTATCAGAAGGGAAGCAATGTGGCCATAACACAGCTGGTAAAAACACCACAAACCTGAGCAGATACTCTCTGCAAAGCTGCATTCTTAATCATTCAACCTGAGTTTTTCATCAAATAAGGACAAGATATAATCTTATTTATTTATATATACTAAAATGACAAATTATTGGTTTTGGCTAGACTAGTTTGACTGAAATGTTCTATATAATCTGATGACTAAAAAAGACTCAACAGTTTTCATTGACAAAAAGTAGACTAAAATAATTAGTTTTCTTTGACTAAAATAAGACTAAAATGCTCAGACTTTTAGTCGACTAAATCTTGACTAAAATGTTTACTGTTTTAGTCGACTAAAATAAGACTAAAATGCTCAGACTTTTAGTCGACTAAAACTTGACTAAATAAAAACAGGATGAAGGTGACTAAATATGACTAAAACTAAAAAGAAAATTTAACACAGGACTAAGACTAAAACTAAATTAAAAAATAGCTGACGAAATTAACACTAGTGAGAGGAGAACATTTTCATTGTTCTGAATGAGAGATAAACCTCTTACATGTGAACGTTTTGTTGAAGAACCGGAACAGATATCGATGAAATTTCAAAGCGTGAAGCATGTCAAGGAACTTGAGCATCTGAAGTGTACTTTTTGTGTACTTTCAGGTTAATAAGAAATCTGCCTTTTTGGCAGATTAACTAAAGGTGTGCGGCTGCTGTGGTGGGGAAAGATAAGGCTGAACTTACAATGGAGTTTAATGGAGACATGTTGAAAGTTGTTGTCACTTCAAGTCCTCAAGAGGCATTTTGTTTAATTATTTTGCTTAATTGTTTTTTATCTTTCAAGCTACAAGATGTGTTCCTACCTTTCTCATGAAAAATTATGTCTCAGGAATGTAGGGATTGGGAATTATGGCAGGTTTAAAAGAAAATATGAAGGGAAAATTAAATCTTTCCTTCACTCTAGCTGTGACATCACGCACTCTAAAATCTGAAGGCCTCTTTACCAAGGTCTGAACAATGTTTAATATCTCTAAAAGTAAGAATCAGATTTAAAAGTGGTGTTACACGAATAATGTCAGAAAGATGTGTAACATTTTAAAGTTGGAATGAGGTTTCTGAGTGAAAGTATGAAGGAGCAGTTAGCAGTTGAAGTTGCATGAAGATTGTTGAAGTCTGAAGAGTTCTCCATTGACTTCCATGTTAAAAATGAGATGTATTATGGGATGTATCTCTGGAATTATGAAAGTTATGAATGCTAAAAGTAATAGCCATCGATTCCCGATCGAGCTGAACGTTTTGATGTTTGAACGGAGTTTCTGCGATGTTCAATGTGGGAGAAGAAGCAGCGCAAAATAACCCTGCGGAATAATAAAGAATTGTGTGCGTAGCATAACAGATAGTGGGAATGCTGGGTCAGCATTCCCACTAAATGAAGGCCTGTTACTCTTTCCAAAGAAGTTCCACAGTGCAGTACTAGTACTTTTACATCAGTAAATGATGAGAATACTTCTTCTACCACTTATCAATACTCTTCATATATTCCAGGAGGAGCAGAGTAACAATCACCTGGCCAGATACAGGAAGGTTCAGCACGACCTGGAGGCGGCCGAGGAGAGAGCGGATGTGGCCGAGTCTCTGTCCAATATGATGCGAGCAAAGAGCCGGGAGATCGGGAACAAGGTACTGAGGGACTCTTACATGTACAGTAAATATTTATAATAAGCTGTTTCTTTGAGAGGGGTAACTGGGTTATTGAGGAGTTGATAGGACCACAGGCTACCTTTGTCAAACGGTTGAAAGAAAAAGACAACTTATAGAGGTAATTAAAAAGTTAAAATGAAATAATAAAGTTTGTTAAACGATAATAACTGCTGGGCTGACAGATTTGGAGAATTGAAAAAAAAGAAGAGAAGGACAAATGAGAATTTTTATATTTTTAAAAGTATGTGTCTCTTACATACAGCACAAAGTCAGAGTTGTAATTCACATATTTATTCTGCATCACAACCTTGGACCAAGATCACCATGTAAAGTCAGATTTAAGACCATGGTAAACAATTGAGTTATCAAGAAAAAATACATCATCATAAATCAATTGTGGTCCCCAAATATGCAAAATAAGAAGTAATCTAGAGTCAAAGAATAGAAATTCCATCTTTTTATATTTTACTTAATAAAACGTCATATTAATAGACACTGTTTTTGCATCATTTGCAGGCACAAGAAGGACAGGGCGAGAAGCTGAATGTTGGACTTTAACTCTCCAGCAGATAACTAATGTGCATGACAGAAATAAATGAGATATAATAATATGAATTTGTAAAGTTTAATACCATAATATGTCAACTCTTAACTAAATATTGCTAAAATAAATTAACAATCACCTGCCAATTGAGTAAAAACTGTCATTAATATTAAATTACCTCCTCAACATCAAATCCAGTATTGATATACTGTAGAGTAAAACATGAACTGTTGCTACAATGTGTCTTAAAACATTTCATAAAATTACAATATATCTCCTGTGTTGAAAAATCAACATTTGTTGTTGATTTGAGAATAAATAAAAGAAAGACAACTAATATGACTAATTTATTAATGATATATTATAATTTAGCTCGAGGCTCACTCCATCAGTTTGCAATAACCTGATTATTTTGGAAAACTAAATATGAAATCACCATACAAATATAAACTGACAACATACGGTGAGTTTTAAAACTTTACCTCATTCTTACGTTACTGTGCATATATGTTGAATACTCCTAAATTAAAGTGTTTAATGGAGGTACTAACAACCTTATGAATCCATGCATTCATCCAATATATTTATATATATCACCACATAAGATTTATTTCCATCATCATTTAGTCATTTCCTCTCATCTCAATTGAAATGTTTTCCATTTCCTTAATAGATCAGTTTCCTTCTGTATTCTTAGCATTGCTGTCGTTTTTAGTTTTAGAACAATAATACATGTTTGAAAAATGCAAGTCAATGTGTTCTGTGTTACTTGACAGGTAAATATATGTCCCTCACGTTGACCAATGAAAACAAAAAAGATAATAATAATAATACAAATAACGGTGATATGCCTCTCAAGATGAAAACAATAAATCAAAGCGTGAGATATTTTCTTTATTACTATTTTATTGAAATGAAGGCAACATACATCAACTACCACAATGCAAACTACATTTAGCATTTAAAGCCCCTATGTGTGGATTTGAAACATTTCCCGCGTTGCCGCCCTCCAGTGGTGGTAGGAGAAAAGACACTTGTTTTTCATCCACAATGCTTCATCCCAATGGACACATTCAAAAAGTGAGTGCTAATGAGTAAAACAAGATTGCAAAAACGTTTTAAGCACTGCTGTGCTGGGAGGGTTGCTGTATTGATAACAACAAAATGCAATTGAGACGTCCTGAATTAACAAATGATTAAAAAAATATATATCAAAGGTGGAAGAAGTACACATTTTACCTCAATTAAAAAAATATACAAAAATACTCTTTAGTATAATATTTCACCCATTCATTCAGAATCCTGCTAAATTATAAAAGAAGAATACGGCAATATGTTGGTACTGAGACCAATTTTCTGTGGGATAATTGTCATTTTCTACAGACAATAAACATCAAAAATAATTAGAAAGAGATCTTAAATCTCAATGGAACAAACTTGGTTGTATAAGAAATAAAATAAAACATCTCATCCAATCAGATGCAGAAGAAGTAATCTGATCCTTAACCTAATTTAAGGTAGTAATTCCACAGTATAAAGTACTTTAAAACAATCGAATGTCCTTCCTTAAAAGTTATACTTCGGTTCAAGTACTAAAATCTAAATGTGCCTCAAGTAACAAAAGTATACTCAATATGCAGAATAATATTTTGTATATCATTGTATTTTAATTATTAATTGCCAATTACAGAGGCATCACACTACTCAGCCTCCCCGGGAAAGTTTACTCTAAGGTACTCGAAAGGAGGGTCAGGCCGATTGTCGAACCTCAGATTGAGGAGGAACAATGCGGATTCCGTCCTGGTCGTGGAACGACGGATCAGCTTTTTACTCTCGCAAGGATCCTGGAGGGAGCCTGGGAGTACGCTTATCCGGTCTACATGTGTTTTGTAGACTTGGAGAAGGCGTATGACCGAGTTCCCAGGGAGTTACTGTGGGAGGTGCTGCGGGAGTATGGGGTGAGGGGGTCTCTACTCAGGGCCATCCAATCTCTGTACTCCCAAAGCGAGAGCTGTGTCCGGGTCCTCGGCAGTAAGTCGGACCCATTTCCGGTGAGGGTTGGCCTCCGCCAGGGCTGCGCTTTGTCACCAATCCTGTTTGTAATATACATGGATCGGATTTCGAGGCGTAGTCATGGGGGAGGGGGTCTGCAGTTCGGTGGACTAAGGATTGCAACCACTGCTTTTTGCAGATGATGTGGTTCTAATGGCTTCATCGGTCTGCGACCTTCAGCACTCACTGGATCGGTTCGCAACCGAGTGTGAAGCGGCTGGGATGAGGATCAGCACCTCCAAATCTGAGGCCATGGTTCTCAGCAGGAAACCGATGGACTGTCCACTCCAGGTAGGGAATGAGTCCTTACCCCAAGTGAAGGAGTTCAAGTATCTCGGGGTCTTGTTCTCGAGTGAGGGAACAATGGAGCGTGAGATGGGCCGGAGAATCGGAGCAGCGGGAGCGGTACTGCAGTCGCTTTACCGCACCGTTGTGACGAAAAGGGAGCTGAGCCAGAAGGCAAAGCTCTCGGTCTTCCGGGCCATTTTCGTTCCTACCCTCACCTATGGTCATGAAGGATGGGTCATGACCGAAAGAACGAGATCGCGGATACAAGCGGCCGAGATGGGTTTTCTCCGCAGGGTGGCTGGTGTCTCCCTTAGGGATAAGGTGAGAAGTTCGGTCATCAGGGAGGGACTCGGAGTTGAGCCGCTCCTCCTTCGCGTCGAAAGGAGCCAGTTGAGGTGGTTCGGGCACCTAGTTAGGATGCCACCTGGGCGCCTCCCTAGGGAGGTGTTCCAGGCACGTCCAGCTGGGAAGAGACCAAGGGGTAGACCCAGGACCAGGTGGAGGGATTATCTCTTCGCTGGCCTGGGAGCGCCTTGGGATCCCCCAGTCAGAGCTGGTTGATGTCGCCAGGGAAAAGAAAGTTTGGGGCTCTCTGCTGGAACTGCTACCCCCGCGACCCGACCACGGATAAGCGGGAGAAGATGGATGGATGGATGGATGGATGTATTTTAATTATTGATGCATTGTCTCGCAGCTGGTAAAGACGGGGCTATTTTGTATCCCTATGTATTACGTGGTTTAGTTGAATACTGGATTATAATTGGTCAATTTGGATTTCAGGTGTCTGTTAATTCTCGCTAGCAGACCACTGCCAAGGAGAACCGACCCTTGTTAAGGACGATCAAGTATGTGCAATCATATCAATCTGTAAAAAGAACGGAGTCCGGTCGATTTTACTTCAGATGTGGATGAAAAACATTAGTTTTCTCCATCAGAAAACAACGTGGAATACCTTTTTGAATATTCACTTTTATATTTGATGGCTAAACTGTCCCCAGTAAATAAAAGGAAAAGACGGCAAGAGAAGGCAAGAGGTTCCATTATAGAGGCTGGACGTCAGAGAAATCAACAGAAGTAGAGACAGACAGGAAGTAAACACTAAAGGGATCACGGTATGGGCTGTGGCAGTGTTTAAAGGTTTGTTAATTAGAAAGATATTGTGACTATATATGGACTGTTATAGAAAACCTTGATCAGAGCTGCCGTCATTTTAAGTTACGATGCTATTGCTGCCAACAGCCAATGTTAAGCAGTGGAACAAACCCATTTTTCTTAGCAGGAGCAACGTGATAATTAAAAAGAAAATAGTTTGTGAATTCCACAATGGTAACTTCAAAATTGTATTAAAGGTGGGGTAGTTTGAGAAACTGGCTCGAGATACACTTTTTGTTATATTCCATGGAATGCTCTTAACATCCAGATAGCAATGAATATCTTAAGTGCTTTGACAAGAAAATCCATAAAGAAATGTCATCTGTGGAAGCCGTAAAATATGGGCTCAGAACAGTCTCATAATACACACATGCGCACAGAAGGATTCAAACTTGTATTTCCGGATCCACACTTGTGTTTTTCAATGCACACACAAATGTATTCCGTTTCATACATGTCAATACAATCCAAATACAGAAACAAGTTTTACATGTGTATTTTTGATCCTCACATATCGATCCGTGCACAGAAAGCTGTGTTTGCAGGTTCAGGGGATTTAAACGGGAAACTAATAAGTGAGGATCAAAAATACACATGTAAAACTTTTTTCTGTATTTGGATTTTATTTACATGTATATGAAACGGAATACATTTGTGTGTGCATTGAAAAACACAAGTATGGATCCGGAAATACAAGTTTGAATCCTTCTGTGTGCATGTGTGTATTATGAGACTGTTCTGAGCCCATAGTAAAAAGCACGACCAATCATTTTAGCCGGCCCGGCTAAAATAACTAGATGGCCTACCTGCCTGTCAGCCTTCCATCTGTGTACAAACTTATCTCGTGCCCTCATTGGTCATGTGCGCGTTCGTGTGTGTTGGAGGAGGGGCTCTGTAAGGAAGTGGCAGATTATTGCCGGCTGTGTATTTTCAAATTCTAGCGCACTCGAGCTGATTTCTCCAAAATTACCTACCCCACCTTTAAGTTGAATGTACTTAGCTAATTGACACCACTGTATAAAATCACACACATGATGCCTTTAAATAAAGAAATAAACACACATTTTTTAAGAGTATGTTGCATACTAGCTCAGCTTCAGTCTTCTTCTTGGCAGCCACTCATTACTCTCTGCTGTCTTTGGCCTGTTGCATGAGACATAAATCAACATCAGTATTAATGAGACACAGTTTGATACCAGGAGCCGGCAGACTCACCTTCCCCATGTCTCGACCCTTGACTTTCATCTTATTGATCTGGGACTCTGCGATGTCCGCGCGCTCCTCCAGCTTCGCCAGATGAGTGTTGGCCTGCTCCTCCTGTCACACACCAAAAACTGATTAGATTCAAATGCACCAAATGTAAAATATTCTTATTAAAAAGAAAGTCCCTCACAGCTTCCTCGGCCTGTCTCTTGTATGCTTTGATCTTCAGCTGGAATTTGTCCACCAGATCCTGCAGCCTTATCACGTTCTTGTCCTCATCCGACTGAAAATCAGAAACAGGAAACAGATCCGTTACTACTGACTGGTAGGATACTTGCGTTTCACTTATTCAACTTCAGAGGTAAATATTGCAGATATGTTAGCTTCAGTTCATTTTTAGATTGAACTCTTTGGTCTAGGGAAAAGGCTGATGTAAAATAGAAAATTAAGGTAAAGACTTTTAGTAAAGTAAGAATTCAGGACATTACCTTGTTATGGAGTATTGTTACAGGGTGATACTAGAACTTGGATGTGAATATGTCCTCCCCCACTATAGGAACAAGGTATGAGAGTTTACCTGATAGGTGAGCCCTTTAATCTTGCGCTCATATTTGCGGACTCCTTTCACAGCGTCCGAGCCGTGTCTTTGTTCTGCTTCAAGCTCGGTCTCTTTAACCTGCAAACGAGCAGTTACAATATCTTTAAACGATTCAATTGTAATGGATCTCTTTACCAAAAGGGATCATGGACTTACAGTCAGTTTCACCCGGTTAAGATTCCTTCATTACTACTCATTAAGGAGGT